TTGTATTATGCTAATACAAGTACAGTTAAAACAGGTGTGTACTAAGCCCCCCCACCTTTTGGCTTGTGTTGTTTTTAGGTGTGTGCCTAAAATCAACGCCTATATACCTAGCGCGTTGGTACTCTAGGGTGAGTACCTAGCTGTTACCTAATACAACAAGCAACACAAAATTAAGGTAGATGGCCCCCTCAGAGGCGGCGCTTGTGTTTTACTCTACTTACGGTTTGCCGAGAAACCAGAAATCCAGGAAGGAGAGTTACGCACAAAACACTTTTTGCACCACAACAATCGTCCAATAAACTTCACTGTAAGAATGCTGTCACCCGAGGCAGCGTGCTTCGCGCACCACAAAACTGGGCGTGAAGATAATATTACTGCGTGCATAAGCTATGAGAGTGTAGTGAAGGGAGTGAACTCAACGGACACGTCCGGAGTCTACAGAGGCAGGAATGTCATCTGTATGATGTGAGCCTGCAGACAGTCGGTGACAAAATAACTTGAGGTTTATTTACACAGACATTAACACACAATATTCCACAATATTTACATATTAAATCCACTTCAAAACAATTATTCAAATTATAACACAGGAGCAACTATCTGTCAACTCGTATAGTGTTATGTGTACATCAGACAGTGTTCCCAAAATTATGATAATATGTTGGGAATATTATTTAAAAAAATTGTCCCATTAGGTTTCTTGCTGGTTCTTCCCAGGACAGTGGTTTTTTTTTTGTTTTGCGAACCAGTGGTAAATGAAAAAAAAAGTGACTTTCAAGTGTTATTTATCCGTATATCCATAAACATCCACATTGAATATAAAAAGTTTTTGTTTCTATTTCTATTAATAAAAACTAGAGATCTGCTCTAGCTTTGCTTGAATAAAATCTATTTATTATATACTTGATCAATATTTCGGTTTTTTATAAATAAAATATAGCCCGATCACTCCTGGCTTTGGTCGGTATCTTTCGTAAAATTTCATTACAATCGGTTCAGTAATTCCGAAGATTGTCGCTAGTACAGAGAGAGAGAGAGAGAGAGAGAGAGAGAAAGAGAGAGAGAGAGACACAAATTTTAAAAGTGGTTGTTTACGTCCCAACGGCATGCAAGTATCCCCCCGGTTCAATATAAAGCAGTTTTTCAATATTCAGACAACCATGGTAGCTCAGATGGTCAACGCTCGCTGTAAAGTCACATTACGCGAGTAACTCGGGCTCGATCCCTGCCTGCACCAATGATATTGTTAATTGAAATTTTAAGTGCTGATTTAGTTATACGTGAAGGAAAATATCGTGATGAACAACTACATGTCTACGACATAAAAAATATATGGAAGACCTGTTAAGTTTCTCAACACGTTAGGGTAGCGCGACGGACACTTCCTTGCCTTAAACCCACTCAGAAATCAGAGGTCTGTGCCCGGCAGTGGGACGTATATAGGCTGTAACTTTAACTTTTTTAACGCTACAGACACTTCATATTATTTTTTGTGTGTTTAGTAGATTAAACTACACAAAGAAAAATATTAATATTATTCATTTTTATATGGCTAGAGTAATAAAGTTTTTTTTAATAGAATAGGAGTACACAGTCCACCTGATGGCAAGTGTAAGCTGTAGCCGATAGTCACCTACCTACATTTAACCTCGATTAAGAATCAAAATGCAGATGCGTTGTCACCCGTGAGAACTAAGCTTGACTACCTTGATTCCAGTTAAACGGGTCTCCGGTTCTCTACACTCACCGTACGAAACAGCAGCATTAAGCTGCTACTTTTCGCTGGTATTCTGTGAGAGCGTGATCCTTCTCCGGTCGAGCCGACCCGTTAGTAGTACAACCATAATATATATAGCTGCAGTGTGGCTATACCACGTATAAAAAGTGCAGGTTCCGAAGAATATCATCCAAAAAGATTTGTCGCAGTTTCCCAAACGCTGCCCAAGCGAGTTGGATCTGTCGATTGACCTGTCAATGTTGAATTTACGTCAACATCTTTGAGCGTAGATTTCGCAACAATTAGCGTCGTAGGAGAGACATGGACGTTACATTTGACCTTTTTTCCTGTAATTTTTCATTTTATGACCTATCCGTTGGGAGAAACTATGTAGGACATTGAGCATAGTGTTAAGATCGTCCAGGTATTTTATTAATATATCGTCGGAAAATCTATGGTGAGTTTGTTCGCAATTTATGTTTATACGTTATCCTTTCTAGTCCAGTAGCTTGTCGATGTTTATATTAAAAACATTTTTATTCTACAAAGTTTGCAAATAAAAAAATCAATGAGAATACTCTATTACAATGGAAAGACTACCTACGACGGTAAGGCTGATATTTGCATATTATAATTCAATACGATATGGATTTTTCAATAATTTGATAAAATCTTTTTGGTGTACATTAGCTCAACTGATCAGTTAACTAACCGTGTGTGTCGAGCTTTACTCATAAGATAAAATAGAACATAATCAAATTAAAAATAACTGTTATGTGTATAATTCAGTTTAATTTTTTCACTTATATTCAGTCAAGTCACAAGTTATTTGATGCATATTATACGTGGTAGAGCCATGCTGCAATTATATTAGTAGTATAGTTGTAGCACTAATGGGTCGGCTCGACCGGGGAAGGACCACGCTCTCACAGAATACCAGCGTGAAATAGTAGCTTAATGCTGCTGTATTTCGTATGGTGAGTGTAGAGAACCGGAGACCCTTTTTACTGGAAATGAGGCATTCCATCTCAGTCCTCACGGGCGACAACGCATCTGCATTTTGATTTGTAATGGAAGATAGATGTAGATGTCTATGGGCCGCAGCAACCACTTACCATCAGGTGGACTGTGTGCTCGTTTGTCACCCTATCCTATAAAAAAAAACTTTTAGTTGACGATTGAAAAATGAGCCCTAAAAGGTAAAAAGCGATTCAACTCAATTACTTATAATTATATTGTTTTTGTAGTAGAGGTGAGCTTGGCAAAAGAACGAAGAATATGCGGCTCATCTGAAGATAAGTGATGACCGCCGCCCATGAACATAGCACCAGAGGAAACGCGAATGTGTTTGCGGGAATTAAGAAAAAAGTAGGCTCCTTTGGGTCACTAAACCATATCAACCCGAAAAACCTCTGATAATAATAGTCAATCTCACCAAGTAGTCGCGCACTAAGCGGAGGAGATTTTATTACAAACTATTTAGTTCTATTCTAGTTAGTTCTATTCTAGTGGTTAAAGTTAGTGACTGCTGAGATGTAGTTCACCAACTGAAATTTGTATCAAAATGTTGTTAAAAAAATAAACACAGAGTACTGGAGTCGCTTTTGAACGTTAATTAGGCATTCCATCTTTATCCTAATTCTAAAACTGTACTCTCATACACTCGCCATCGCAATTAATAAGTCCTAACAAAATATATGAGTTGTATACTCATTTGATTTTATAGGTGATAGAGCCACGCTGCAGCTATATTATGGTTGTAGCACAAATGGGTCGGCTCGACCGGGGCAGGACCACGCTCTCACAGAATACCTACGTAATATAACAGCTTAAGACGACACATCGAAAACGCTATCGCCATACTGATCCGAGTGAATACATAATTTCTATAATAACTTGAAGAAACGCCGTCATAAGGTCTAAAATTGCGTAGCGCCCGCGACGATTAAAAGCGCTTAGAAATTGTCAGAATCTTAAAATATTTTTAAAAAAATTATTGATTTAAGTTATCAAAATAATGAGCAAGTAAATTATGAATATTGATGTTATGAATATATTTGAGTGATTCCCAAATGTAGAGATCAAATGATTTCGTCGTAATTTCAACTATAGTCATTTTTTAGAGGTGTTTTCGCAAATAATTATGATCGAGTCAAAATTATACAATCGTGTTTTTGAGCAATCAAATTCAAGATAAAGACATGAATTTACCTATATCAAAATCCCACTTTCGTTAGTGGTGTCATAGTCCTATACTATTCGATGAAAGGGGGTGCATTTTTTCACGGTGTCGCCTTAATGTTGCTGTATTTGTAGAAAACCGGAGACCCTTTTTACTGGAAACGAGGCATTCCATTTCTGCCGCCATAAGGAAAAAAGACGTATCTAACATTTTTTTCGAAATGGAGTTACATAAATGTTCTAAATCAGTAAAAAAATGGCATCCACCAGTATTTTTATATTTCGCATAAATTAAGCGGAACCCTATAAATCTTACTGTTAAATAAGACGAATCTGCGATATGAATCAAATATTATTAAATAGAAAAGACGTTTCTGAAGTCCACTAAGTTGAAAAAACGAATTTTAGTAGAAGCGTCTTATTTATTTACAAAATATTTAATTCATCATAAAATGAAAAGACACTTCTGCATGGTCATAAGAAGAAAATACTTTTCTGCGTAGATGTGCCTTTTTAGCGTAAGTATTACGAAAAATGGGCAGGCGCAAGTGGCAGTAGTGCCTTTCCTACTTAATATTGCTAGTTGTGCGGGGTGAAGTGGGGCTCGCGGTTGGTATACTGCGCTTCAGTTGCGTCCAGGCAGACAGAGTGATAACACGCGCGCGCGGCTCTTCGAGCTATAACTACGGAAGAATCATAAGTCAAACCTGCTGGAATTATAATTTATGTATATTTAAGCATACCCATGAGTAATTTAAGATTGAAAAAACTGTAAACCTAACAGGTGACACAAATAAATATACCTACTTTTATGTTAAAACATTTCAATATTAAATATATCGGTTAGAAAACAACACCTTAATCTAGCTAAACGCTTCTTTTCGAATTTGTTTACACCGTTGAGTACCAACTATCACAATGAAGAGGTTTGCAGTTTATACATTTTATACCTTGTTTGATTATTACCATAATGAGTTTTTTGTAGATAGTGGGATATGAAAGTTTGTATTCAGATAATATCTTTCAGTTTTTTCATTTATTTTTTCTGCGCCGGTGATTTTTTCTAAGTATTTTGTTTATTTATTTGTTTCAGTGTGACAAAATGCGACATAATCGATGCTCAAAAATAATTTCGCTGGTGCGATCAACCAGTTCTTCCCAGGAGTCAAACCTGAATACTAATTATTATGAGCTGCCTTTATCTACTACGAACGAAAATAACTCTTTGAATGATGCGGATCTTCATAACAGCTCAGACAGCATCCTGGATTTTGATTCAGATGATTCAGGTTTTGATAAAATTTATTTACCCTCAAGTTTAAATCAAAATGTTCAGAAGATTCAGATTCTTCTACAAATACCATCCCCCAATCACCGTCAATTAACGTCACAATTCCTGAGTCACCTGAAGTCTCAAGCGACGAAGATACGCCACAAAATTTCACAAAAAAAGAGGACTATCAGAAAACGTAAGAAGTATGATGAATCACCGGCGCAGAGAAAACAAATTAAAAAACTGAAAGATATGGAATCTAAATATAAACTTAAGCCAGGGTGTAATGATGGATGTAAAAAAATATCATACCCAGTTTACAGAAGAAGCACGACAAAATCTAAACCATCACTTTAGAAACACGTCTTGGAAAGAGCAACAGTATTTCATAATAAATAACACATCCAAAGAAGATCCTAAGAGAAAAACCGTTAAAGAAAACAGAAAACTGCCAAGAAACGTAAGCATATTATATTTTCTGACAAATGAAACAGGGGTAAAAGTGAATGTTTGCAAAGTATTTTTTCTAGAAACACTGGGTTACAGTCGAAAAAATGATAAATCTGTAAGAAACGCCTTATGCATCATAACAAACAACATTCCAGTTGATAAGCGAGGAACCAATCCTAATCCAAAAAAGTTGGACGACACTAAAATTGTAGAACATATAAATTCTTTTAATCCTTCAATTTCCCACTACAGACGAGAGCACGCTCCAAATAGAAAATATCTTCCGTCTGACCTAACAGTGACCAGAATGTATCGAGACTTTTACGAACAACAAAACATGAAAGACCTTCCTGTTCACGAACAGATTTCTTATGACTACTACAGAAAAGTTGTGAAGAAGTTAAATATATGTTTTACAAAACTTGGACATGAAGAGTGTGAGGCGTGTGAAAAGTTTTTTATCCACAATCCGGAATACAATGAGAAAAGACACAGAAATTGTCAAGAATGCCGAGATTACGAACGACACCGGGAAAAATACACATCAGCCAGGGAAGCATACAAAAAAGATGTAGAAAAACAAAATAACGCAAACATCACCTCAGATACTGCCTATTTTGCAGCTGATTTAGAGAAAGTAATTATGATCCCACACATTGAAGAATTTAAAATTGTAATGTTTTGCCCAAGAGTAATCGTATTCAATGAAAGTTTTGTGCCAATAGGCGACAAAAAAAACAATGCTACTTTGCAAACCTATGCTGCGATATGGCATGAAGCAATTGCTGGTCGCAAAATGAGTAACATAATAAGCTGTTTCAGAGCTTTTTTGCAGGCAAATAGAAAAATGTAGTCATCTGGTTAGATAACTGTGCAGCCGAGAATAAAAATTGAAGTTTGTATTCTTATTTGCTCCATCTTGTTAATTCAGTCGTAAAAGATTACATTAAAATATTTAGAGGTAGGCCACACGCACATGGCAGCAGACGAATTCCATCATAAAGTGGAGAAATCTATGAAGAGGAAGAAACACATCTATGATTTCGAAGACTTTCATCAAGCAGTATCGAACACCAGAACAAATATTATCGTTAAAGTAATGAATATGGATAAATGTCAGTTTGAAGACAGTTCTTCAACTTACAAACTACAAAATTCTTCCCCTCGTGCTTATTTCTGTGACATGCGTGAAGTAACATTCCTTAGAGGCACCCACATCATTTATTATAAGACTGCTTTCCACAATGAAGAAGAATACTCACTTGACTTTCTGAGATTAAAAAATATAAAATCTGGGATACCACCTCAAAACCAAAAAAATCGGTATAGAGGCATTACTCAAGAGCGCAAGACAGCGATCATACAAAAACTGACACCCTTAATGCCAGACAACAGAAAATGGTTTTGGTATAATCTACCTACTGATAAAAATAGTGTTGATCTGACTCAAGTTGATGAAGACTAAATTTACAAGAGTTATAAAGCTGTGATTATTGCTAATATTAAGTATAATTTGTTCAAACTTAGATAGCTTTTTTAATATTTGTTTTTAGAAGAGTAACTTAGAGTAGCTATTATAAGTTCAGAGAGGTTTGTTATTGCTATTATTATTTTTTTTTTATTTTATGATATACACATAAGTCGTAGTGTTAGTTTGATCTCACTCAAGTATAAGATTAAGACTTCAATATAAGAGATTCCTTAAAAAGCTGTGATTATTATTATTAATTATAAATACAAACTTAGATCGTTTTGATACTTAATTTGTGTTTCTAATAGAAGAGTTTAACTCGAGTTTAGAGTTTAACTTTATTTTATGAGAGGTTTGTAATTGCTATTTTTTATATTCTTTAAAAAAAGAAATATAAGCCTGATTCTCATACTTTGTGTTTTATTTAATACATGATAATTATCATCTTAAAACGTACTTCAGTTTAAATAAGGTTTAGGATTGTCGGTGATCTAACAATGTGCAGGGTATTATTATTTTTTAGTTAATTGAATATTAGTATTACTAAGTTGAAAAGCAGCAAATGGCTATTAACGTCTTTTTTATTTAGTTAACTAGAACCTGGTAACACATTATCACTAAGTAGGAAAGACGTTTAAAAAATACTAAGTTAAAAAGGACGTTTCTAGCCAGAAGCGTCTTTTCATTGCCGTATCAAGTATTTTCTTGAATTTTTTTAACTAAAAAGTAAAAGAAAAGTTATTTATTGAATACATAAAATTTATTTAATTATTACTTATAATTGCTGATAGATCAAACATTCTTAATAGGTCGCAACATCCACTTAACATCAGTGATCTGTCTGTGCTTTTTTAACGATTCTTACTGATATTAAAGTTTCTGCTTTATGATAAATTGCGGTTTTTATTCTCCCTCCTGTATTTATTACGCATTTACCTCCGACCTATACCGTAATAACCGTAGTTCTACCACATTAATGCATTTTGATTCAACTTAGCTTTCGCTGTGGAACCGCTTGACATATTTAAATGAGCGAAATCTGCGGTTAAAACGTGGTCTGTATGCTAAGTCGATGAGAACCAGTAGAATGCTGAACTATAACTAAAATGTTATCGTCTGAGCCATTAAATACTTGTTTTAGAACATTGCAGCGACCTGAGAAAGTCACTAGTGTTTCAAGAAATGTTGCTATATATTAAAGGTAAGTTTTTCAAGCATTTTATGCATAGACTTGTTATACAAAGGGATACACCTTCAAACGGGGTCATTAGGAGATATTAAATATCTTTCCTTTTCTGGTAACGAGGCATTTTGCAATTTTAAGTGATGATTTTCCACTTTTTCAGTGGTTAAGAAAAACGTTGTGAGGAAACGTGTACGTTTGGAAAATTATGAATAGTACATATTTCGAAGACATATGACCTGATGTGTGATGTGCTATGAGCTACAGTGGTTAATCACCAGTAGATAGACTCTTCGTTTCTCCTATAGTACCTTCCCATTCAATTTATTTAATTTTTCAAATTTCGTCTTTTTTATATAATTTCAGTTTAACCGCATAAAAAAATTAAGATAATCCTATCAAAAGAAGTTTGACATTAATCTTTTATAAGAATTCAATAAATTTTACTCATTGAAAATTTTGCTTGTAAAAAATAAATATTGCATAAATTATATTTTAAACTCGCATGGCTGGGTATAAGTTCATTATTAATAAATAATTTTTTTTGAGTATTTAATTTGTTGTTAATCAACGACATGAATACACCATACTTATAACAAAAACCTTGTGGTTCCAGTTAACGTCGTTATCAGAATCAGTATTCAAACGTATATATTTGGTTTATTTTTTCAAAAACTCAACCATTAAAAAAATTAATACAATTAAAATAAATTTTAATTTGCAAATTATATGTGATTTTCTCCCTCAAACTGATACGAGCATCGGTAAATCGGGGTCTTTGACAATCCCCGAACAATGTAGAGGTCACAAAACTGGATGGCAATTTGCAACTTTAAAATTAATTAAAATAAAAATAATGGTTCCGAAAAAAGTTATTTCTCTATGTTTGAATACTGATTCTGATAACGCACTTAACGGGAACCACATGGTTTCGTTACATGTTTTATATAAAAAAAATACTCTTGTTGTTAATACTTTTCGTGACCGTAAACTATGGCAACCCTTTATTCTTTATTGTTAATTACAAACTAAATATAGACTTATAAATATATTATAGTAGCGATCCTTTTTGATACTTTTTTTGAAATGTTTCTTTTCTGCAGCTAGTCCGCTATAAAAATAACATCACATAGGAATTCACTAATGATCGACAATACAACACACAATTTTCTGATGCTCTTGGTTCCATGGCCAACAATGTACGGGCGCAGAGTAATGTCCTTTCATCAAAATCGGTCCAACCGTTTAGGAGTTTAGTGACAAACACACGTAGTATAAAAAAAGATGTAAATAATGTATTCATACTGGCCACATTCCACTCATAGCTGCTAACTTTGTACTCACACTTACACATATTTACACATTTACACTCCCAAAATTTGCAACGTTCATACGTTTACACTCCCACTCTTATTGAACCTTCACACCTACTTAAACAAGCTTAAAATATCTGCAACGATTTATACGTTCTTTTTATATCAATAGCTTTCATAACTTTTAATTTTGCTACTAATTATGTGCGCAGTTTGGGGCCCTGGTGACCCGTAACACAGGTTTTTTTTTTCTCACAAAAACCTACATCAGGGGCCAGTCTCTCTCAAAGCAGGGCCTGGGACCTAAGTAGAAAATTATTAACTTTAAAAGTACAATTTTTGAAGAGAGAATAAATGATTTATTATTATAATCTTATTATTATAATTGGACATTATATAATACTATGTGTATTAAACTTCTTGATGTTTTTTTTTATAGAAGAGCGGGTAAATGACTGTTCGGCTCACCTGATGGTAAGTGACAACTGCCGCCCATGAACAATTGCAACACCAGGAGAATTGAAGATGAGTTGCCGGCCTTTTAGAAAGGAGTAAGCTCTTTTCTTGAAGCCCCTAAGCCGTACCTTTCCAGAAAAACCGATGTAGATATTGTGAGTTTTGTCGTTTTGTTTTGTGTCACACATATTATACGGTATCTAAAAAAGGTAGAAAAATAAATTTATGTACTTATTGGTGTGAAAATCAAGGCGAAGATGTCGGTGTAAACCTAGCACACCTGTGAGGCAAGTCGTTTTGGAGAATTTCACCAAAAATAGGTTTTTGTTCATGTTCGTTTATTTAGCCAAATGGTGTCGAAAATTTGGGTAATGTCAGTTCCATTAAGAATAGTTGAAGGTCTACCGAATAATGTCGCAAGCTATCGACTGCGCAGGAGGTACATTACAACACTATACGCGGTATATTGGTTCTGGGTGGTACAACCACGCTACATCAGTATCATGGTTGCAGCGCGAATGGATCGACTCGACCGGGGCAGGACCACGCTTTCACAGAATATCAGCGTAACATATCATCTTGATGCTACTGTGTTTCGTATGGTGAGAGTAGAGAACCGGAGATCATTTTTACTGGAAACGAGACATTTCCTTTTAGTCACAGGGGTAACAACGCATTTTTAATCGAGGATAATGTGGATATCTATGGGCCATAGCATCCATTTAGCATCAGGTGGATAGTTCTCGTTTGTCACATTTATTCTATAAAATAAATGCCAACAAGTGTAAGCGCTGACACAAAAGCACTCCACTTGCGTTAACAAGCGCTCGATGCTCGATGTAATGGCCGGCTCATCCTACCAGAGTGCTTTAGTGCATTAGTAGCAACTCGAATGGGAGTGCTCGAAACAAAGATGAAAAGTATTCTATTCGATTATAGTAGGAACTCGAGCTACCTCTATACTAGGATTTTCTCCTGTATCGTTGGTGCAGTTTACGTACAAAAATTTCACAGCGACTAACATCCAGACCCGGAACAAACATTTATAGGTCAGACCAGTAGTTGTTCCGTGCGGAATCAGACCTCGCAGCCCTCAGGCAACTGCGATTCTGAGAGAGGAGCCGTCGTACTATAGCGATTAGCATTTAACATAAGTAAACATTTAAATTAAATACAAGCTACCGTTTAACGTTTCTATTACTAATGTACTACCATAAATCACTTTCATAGATACCGGTCATAACCCATAACATATATGCTATAAGATCACAAGTAGATTTGGACGTCACATCTCTACCACAACACAACTAGATTATCTAAATCGCGACTGTTTACTGTTTGTGATGCACATATGTTGGCGACGATTTGGATTCAAACCAAAGACAAAAGTCGCCGGATAGATGTAGTCGCATATAGGTCGCATAAATTTTTTCTATTATCTATGGATTTTAGTCAAACGATTCAAATAACACACAATACATTCACATATGATGCCGCATGCGCAATTGTAAAGTAAACGTTAATTACTAAAACGCTAAAATTCTTACATAACTAACATTCAGTTTTTAGTTATGAGATCATTTCAAATAAGTAAACAAGACGTACATTTGTTAAGGTGTGTTAGTTTTAAAAGAACGCACAGCACTCGAGCAAACTTTACCAAATTTTTCACGTTTATGGCGGACGTGTCCGAATGCGATCCGAAAAAAGGTCTATTTGGAATCATATTTCAGGAACTGAATCTGTTGAAAGAGGAAATAATATATATGTATTACATCATAAAAACTCGAAGCAGAGTCGAAATTAAGTAATAGTGGTTTTAATTTTTTTTAAAAGTCATCATCATCATCAGTCTGCGGTATTCCACTGCTGGAGAAAGGCCTTTTCCTTAATGACGAATGACTATTATGAGCGTCTGTGATGAATGCCTCTCCGGAAAATGTAATTGTAATTAATTAAAATGACGCGTAGTTTATCATTAACATCATTAATTACAGCTCTTCACAAGTCTGATTAATAAGTTATGGATCTGATAAGTTTAAGTTATGTATGTATGATAAGTTTACGTTTAAGTTATGGATCTGAGACGTCATCCTTCACTGTTGGCTGTAAGCTCAAGGTCGCTCAGCGAGCTGTGGAGATGGCTATGCTCGAAGTTTCTCTGCGTGATACATTTAGAAATGAGGATATCCGCAGTAGAATCACAGTGACCGATATAGCCCAACGGATTAGTAAGCTGAAATGGCAATGGGCCGGCCATATAGCTCGAAGAACCGACTGCTGATGGGGAAAAAAGGTTCCCGAGTGGCAGCCTCGTACCGGTAGGCGAAGTGTAGGCGAATCCCCACTAGATCAAGTGACGAATTGGTAAGACATGCAAGAAGTCGATGGATGCAGGTGGCTCAAGACCGTACTTTGCGGCATTCCTTGAGGGAGGCCTATGTTCAGCAGTGGACTTGTGAAGAGCTGTAATTAATGATGTTAATGATAAACTACGCGTCATTTTAATTAATTAAAATTACATTTTCCGGAGAGGCATTCATCACAGACGCTCATAATCGTCATTCGTCATTAAGGAAAAGGCCTTTCTCCAGCAGTGGAATACCGCAGACTGATGATGATGGTTGTACATTTTCGTTTTCAGGTTTTGAGGTATACCGGACGAGAAGATGTGTATCAAATGAATGAATGTTCCGCTGCCCAGCGGAGTTGAATCCGTCGCTTGACCTCTCGGATGTGATCACGGATAGTTGAAATAAGAGAATTCACTACCCAAATCAGAGAGGTCGTAAGACACAAAAGATGGAAACTGAAGTTAGAGACAGACAAAAGTATCTCCCTGACAAAAACATAATAAAATAAAAAATGCGGTCGTCAGTACGCCTGCCAATTGTGAGAAGTATGGCACATGTAAGCTTTGTTGACTTTTGATGGGTTTTAATTTTGGCAGAGCCAAGATGCGGATGTATTTTGGTTACAACACGAATATGTCGGCTCGACCGCGGAAGGTCCACGTTCTCACAGAGTACGAGCGTAAGTTAGAAGTATACTGTTGCTGTTTTTTATGGTGAGTGAAGAGAACGTGCTGCATTGCAAAGCATCTGCAGTTTTGATTCTATGGCTGTTGGTGTCTGTGATTCACAGCTTCCACCTGCCATAAGCTGGACTAACTGCTCTTTTGCAACAATTACTTCATTAAAACACGTCATATGAGTGTAGACACCATGAGAAGGCCTTCTGTGATTAATTGTTGTTGAAAGCTGATTTCTGAATATTTATAAAGGTAGGGTAATTTTTAAGATACCGTTACGAGACTAGTCAGCGAGAATTGAGTAACGTTTGAGTATTGGGGAATTAATCTATGATTTATAAGAATAGAGTTAAGAGCATCCTGCGCTTTTTATGTAAGTTATATTATGTATGTGTAAATTTATCTAATATACCTTTTTATTTCAAGTTTATTTAAATTACCATAACCAACAGATAACATACCAGATAAAATCTAATCTTTAAACTTTAAATATTTTAATAATAACTTATTTAAAGTTTAAATATCAGATTTTATCAATTTATTTTATCAATGTAAGAATTTCAGCAGGTTTTTGCTCTTTTAGTTCATCAGTCATGCAGTTTTTTATGAAACTATTCAGACAACATTTGATTTTGAAACATTCGTTAGTTCTTTTTAATTTTTTACAGAATAACAGTAACTAACAAGGATACAGTCCACCTTAACGGTAAGTGTATGCTATGGCTCATAGATACCTATATCTATTTTTATTTAAGAACCGAAACGCGTTATCACCCTTGAGGGCTAAGATGAAATGCCTCATTTCTAGTAATAAGAAACACAGTATATAATAGTTTCTGATATCTCGGCTTTAATACTTCTTTACAATTATGACTTCGCACCGATTTCTGAAACTTTTTAGCGTAACTTTTGCAAGACTTAAATCGGTCAACCGTGCAGAAATAAGACCAACGATTATCTGTAAATTCCTTGAGAAATAAAAAGTGACCTTTTTTCATTTATAATCTGTATACAGAGTCTAAAGAAGAAAAGCAAACAATTTGCCTTCAGGCAAGTTTTATTACAGCCGTTAGTAAATTTGAATTAAGAATTTAAAAAAACGAAAGAAAGAACACATTTCACCTGCAGGTAAGTAGATGCTATGGCACAAATACAACTATATCTATCTTCGATTTAGAATCAAAACGCAGACATGTCGTTACCCCCCGAGGACTAAGATGGAGTTTTTTTTTAAATATAGAATTAGGGTAACAAACGAGCACACAGTCCACCTGATGGTAAGTGGATGCTACGGCCATAGACGTCTATCCTCGATGCAGGATCAAAATTCAGATGCGGTGCCAACCTTGAGGACTAAGATGGAATGCCTTATTTCCAGTAAAAAGACCGACCAATTCGTACTACAACCATAATATAGCTGCAGTATAGCTTTACCACGTTTAAAGTAAAATGGGTCGCCAACTTTCTACACTCACCAACGAAACCTCAGCATTATTCTGCTGGTTCACTCTGGTATTCTGTGATAGATTGGCGTGTATGGTGGCGTGTACATTTTTAAGATACTTCTCATTTTATACATTTTTTCGTAATTGTGAATATAAAAATTATACCAAAACGATATGAAAAATAAATTTTATTATTGAACATCGAAGGTTGAAAATAATTTTTGTTTCTGATTATAAAAAAAATAGGTGTGACGAATACTCGCGGTAGAAGTGAAACGATCAGAAAATTGTGACTAAAATAGCCCTATCTATTTAATTCTGTAGGTGAAGATATTTTATAGAACAATAATTGATTGACTCTCGGGCTGGTACGAAAAATAGATGCTAGATTGCCTAGACGCTATTAATATATCGTATTCATATTGTTTATTGCATCCATAATGTTACAATTAAGGTGTTGAGAAAATTTTAAGTTTTAACTTAAAAATATGAGATTATGGGCCCTGCAGGCCCACGGCATTTAAGAGAGAGGAGGGCCATTATAATGAAACAATAATGATGAATACACTATGTTGTAATATGGCAACAGTAGGTATTTTTGAAATGAAAGGTAAAAGGTAGGTATTTAAGATTTATCATTTAAGTATTCTGTGTGTAGTAGTATTTACGAATTAAAAATTCCTGTACTTTAATTATGTATATAGTCTCTTTTTCTATATTTTTTATCGAGTCTGGGAGTTGTTGATAATTGACATGACAAAGGGACCTGATGAATGTTCGATTTAGAAATTTCTCATTCTGTCGCAGGCTAAATCCTATAGATGTATATGTTTGTCCCTTTTTAGTGTAGCTTTTTCGTTTAATCGAGTTTCAAATCACAACCATCGTCAAGAAGTTTTACATCAAAATGTCAAGGTCGAATAAAGTCAAGATAACGGCCAGTTTACTGTACGACGATTCTCTTGATTTTCATCAAATTATAATTTAATTATTGTTACTTCTTAAAAAAAACTTGTAGGTATGCAAAATAATAAGGTAAACCTTGTCAAGCAACATTGCAGATTTGGACCGGTTGGTATTTGGATGGTGTATTCGTATGGTAACCTCGTCTGGTTAGCATGAATATACTAGTGATCTGTCCTGGTTTCACATGGGTGATATCTGTATCTCGATAACAGCGCAACTTACCGGGTTCAATCATCGAACTATATTACTAACGTATAGAAGAGACATCCCGAACCAAATGTTTGCTTCATTTTGGTAAGAGTTAGAAAGTTCGCTGCAGCGCTAAAATAATAGTTAAGTCGTCTAATCAAACTATTAAAAATGCAGCGCTAGATTTGCGCGGTAGGGGGCGCTTGCATTAGGGATTAGTTTTCTCGTGACCAAAACGCTTAGTAGTAATACCTAAATGGATCCAATTGTGAATCTAAACCATCCAAGGAGCCACTCAAATACACACAGAAAAGTCATCAAAATCGGTCCAGCCATTTCGAATTTTTGTGAGACTAATGGATAGCAATTAATTTTTATGTAATAGGTGGTCTGAAACTAATTTATAATAATATTATAAACGTGACTTTTCAATTTTTCTTCTGTAGATGCTACATTATTAAGCTACACAGTTTTAATTTTTTTATTGCTTGTTATTTTTATTAGACTAATTGTTACTTTATTTAATTGTAATCAAATTTTGTTCCTGTATGTAAACATGTGTAATTGGAAATGAAATAAAAATTATTTATTTATTTATTAACAAAGGCAACGCATATTATAAAAAATACGTATGGCACTCGGTGACTGCCGCGGTAAAGCTATTGCATAGGATTTTTTATCAACTTATGCAATTATAATTATTTATTTATTTTATTTATGCAGTTAAGTCCTTGATATTAAATCATGTTACACTTTTTGAGCGTGGTGACCGATAAGAAAACAATTTTTTTTCTCTTATTGAATAAATGAGAAGTTAATATTGTTTAAAATATTTTTAATATCTTACAATACATGTAGGTTATTCAGGAATTTTTATCATTGAGTTAGCAGTTAGTGTACACGCATACGTCTAGTCGCACGCACACAAACACCGTGCCGAAGTCTGCCGAACTGAAACGACGTTAGACGATGCACGGCTTTCAACGCCACACCTCCGTGCCCGTCGGAGTGGGGAGCGTGAGGTTTTTTTCGTTACGGAATTTCTGGATTCGGTCCCCGCGCTCCACGCCCGCGATAGAAGCTATGCAATAGCTT